GACCCGTTCCTGTGCAAAATTGGAAGACGCTGGAGGTGTTGACTGGGGAACAGAACCTCCAAACCTCTCCGGAAAGAATCACAAACATAGCACTCCATCGGCTGTCTTTGTTGAAGAGGTCAGTAGTCCGTCACAAAAAAACTACAGGAACATCATCCCGAATGGCAAACACATCTCACCTTCTTTAAGATGGGACCGCCCAAAAACCATGCCTCTTCCTCGTCCGGGGCAACAATTGGCGCTGGCAGAGGCGGCTCGCCACCAAGCTTGACCCGTTCCTGTCGAAGATGCTGGAGGTGCTGACTGGGGAAACACAACCTCCAAAGCTCTCTGGGAAGATTTGCAAACATAGCGCTCCATCGGCTGTCTTTGTTGGGGTTTGTCAATGCCGGTTTGTCAATGTGGATGCATATTCAAGCACCTCAGGATTAGGAAACATAGCACCTCCTGCATTCCTTCAATGATTATAAACCCCACATCTCTTCAGCACAATGTCCCTGCCTCATGGGAACCAGATTACGGAACTGGTAGAAGCTCAGCGTGGCTGAGCTCATTTGTTTCCTTCCGCGCACCTGGACATGCATGGTAGATAGTTTGCGTTACCTAACGTAGAACGCCATGTACCCGTACCCCAACTTGTCATACATGGCGTTTGCATACTACCCCGCAAGAAGAGCAGCGCACCTCCTACACCCCCCAACATAGAACATGGCACAGATCCTTGTCTGACAATGTCACCAGCGCTGGTGCTCTTAGCCTCCTGGGCACAAAGGCAACATATTGCAACTTCAAATTAGCATCAAATGACTGGTCTAAAGTCTAAACATGGCACCTCAACACTTCCATTGCCCTTCTTGACATTGTCAAACAAGAAAAAACACGATTCAGCCTTGAATGAACCCCACATCTCTTCAGCAGGGTGTCCCTGCCTCAACCTCCTGGGGACCAGATTGCGGAACTGGTAGAAGCTCAGGATTCCTCTCAGGATGGCCCAGCTCATCTGTTTCCTTCCGCACAACTGGACATGCATGGTAGATAGATAGTTTGCGTTACCTAACATAGAACTCCATGCTTGAAGAGGACACGCTAAACAGCTACAGCAAAAAAACTACTGTACCCGTACCCCAACTTGTCATACATGGTTCCATTGCCCTTCCTGACATTTTGTCAAACGTGCTTCAGCCCTGAATGAACCCCGCATCTCTTCAGCAGGATGTCCCTGCCTCAACCTCCTGGGGACCAGATGGCGGCACTGCTGGAAACTCAGCACGGCTCATCTCATCGGGTCCCTTCCACACAACTGGAACTGGTTTGTGTTACCTACCATAGCACTCCACCGGAACATGCTTACGCCTACCCCACTCTTTCATAAGAAGAAACTGTATCCCAAAAATTCACAAACAGCGCCAGAACCCTTGTCCTCCCCTGGGCAAGTTGGGGAAACCATCGATGACACAGCCACATCGGCAATCTCCCCCATGGCCAAAGGGTGCGCCACACTTACACACACACACACTTCGAACTTGGTTTTCAGTTAGACTCAATTGCCACGTTGGGAAGGAAGGTGAGGGAACGGCAAGGCGAGTGAGTCGGCACAACAGTATTGTTTAAAATTGTTTCCGAAGGCGCTCAAAAGAAAGTGACAGTCAGCCGCTGCAATGCGGAAGGAAAAAGGTTTAAGGGAGGTATCATGAATCACCATGGAATCAAAAAAGGAGGATTGGAACAGCTTGCTCAACCGTTGAAGCAGGTACAGGTGGATGATCAGTCCACCCATCCCTCGATACACCAGAGCTTCGTTGCGTCAGGTAGGTGTATCGAGCCTGACGCCCCTGCTGCATGAAAATGAGTAGACAGAAACCCTTAGAAACATGGTGTGACACACACACACAGCACGCCGTAATCGGCGCACGGATAAAACGGTGGAAGGGCGGATTCTTTTCCTTTTTCTCTCCAAAACCGCCTGCATGTGCGCAGGTCATGCCCTTTTTGGGCATAGAGGTTGACCAAGGCTTCAGCCGCAGCGGTGGCGTTGTGGGGTGGAAAGGTGTATGTATAGATGGAGTGAAGTCGGGAAGCTAAGCCGGACAGAGCCAAGCGCTGGCTACCGGCGCTGGTGTGGTCCCTGATTTTCCAGGGTTGGGTGGGTTGTATGTAGGTGATGGTGCGTTGCTGGAGGTCGATGTTGAAACCCAGAAGGTGGAAGTCATCCACCGGCTCTAATTCGACGGGATCGCCGAAAAAGTTGTTGTGGATGAGAGTCTGGATGGCGGGATGTGAGAGGAAGTGTTCATTGTGGACAATGAAGCGGTTGTCCACGTAACGGTAGTATGTGAAGTGGAGAGCAGTATGTTGAAGGAGATTGTTGTGGAGCTGGTGCCATGAGTGTTCGATGAGGGCGATGGCAACGTTGCAAAGGGCAGGTGAGAGCTGGGAGCCAATCCCAGCCCCCCGGATTTGCTTGTAGGTGTTGTTGCGTGCCCGGAAAATGCAGGTGTCGAGTGCATATGCGACGATGGTTGTAATATCGGCAGAATGAATGGTAGGGTGGCGTCGGTGATGTCTTCCGATATGGGAGTGATGGAGTGGATTGCCTGTGGCTTTGGTGTCAACTGTGAGAGTATGGGTGTGGTTCTGGCGTTGCCAGTGCTGAATGAGGGAATGGACGGCGTCGATCAGGCGGTGCTGTGGAACTGAGTTGAAAAAACCAACAAGATCGTCATTGGTGGCATGTAGGGGAATGTCCGGTGGGGTGTCGGTGAGGTAGCAGTGGAAGTGGGACCATAGTTGTGGAATTGAAAGTTGACCTGGATGCTGGGGGAAGAGGTGTTGCAGGATAATGTCAAGGGCTCGGTTGGTAATGCGGAGGAGATGGCCGCTCAGGGACTGAAAGTACGAGATGATGGTGCGGCCTTTTCTCCATTGTTTCTTCTCCTTGAGGTGAACGATGCCGTATGGTATCGTGAAGTCCTTTCTGAAGCCCCATTGGTAACGTGTGCGGAGGCTGGGGGGGATGGTGTGTGTCAGGTATTCGTGGATGTTGGACGGCTGGAGTGTTGGCATGGGTGCAAAGAGTTCCGGTGACTGCCAGGTGGCAAGCGCCCCGGCGAAGTATTGGCGGGGGCAGAAAATGCGCAGCTGTTGCAGTTCGTGGTCAGCATGGTGCAGGACGACTTGGTCGCCTAGGAATTCCTGGAGTTGCCGGAGAAGACGAGCCGTGAAGCGGGGTTGGTGTTTCAAATGGTCAGTATGGAGCCTCCATTGATGCTGCAGGAAGGGTTCCAAGCGCTGTGTGAGTGAGGGTGGAAGGCCTTGGATGCGCAGCCATTTGGTGAAAGCAGTCTGGAATGAAAGGAAGTATCTGGCCTTGCTGGGGTAGAAGGTGCTGTTCATATTGGCTGCCAGGAAAATGCGGAGGTGCGGAGGTAGTGAGTTGTTCGAGGGTGAGGATGTAGTGGCTGTCTATTGGGGGTGTAGTTGGATCAAGCAGAATGGTTTTGAGGTGGTCGCATGCACATGGTAAGTCACTGGAGGTCGGAGGGTTGGGTAGCGTACCCTCCCAGGTGCGGTGGTTGTGCAAATGGGCCCGGAGAGTCTTGTGGGCTGCTTCCCGCAGACGGTGAGTGGGTAAGTGGAGCGGGATGGCGAGGTGTTTGTGGTGCTGTATTGTGGTCTTGAGCCACTGTTCACAATGTTTGGGAAACTGGTCATGGGCCAGAAAAGGTATGGTGAGGGGGATGTTGGGCTTGGGTGGACTGAGGTTGCGATACTGGAGGGCTTGGTTGATAATGTGGAGTGCTCTGCTGCGGCCAGGCTCTTCCAAGTTGGAGGCCATTCGTCGGATGGCGTAGACCTCAAGGTCTGTATGTTTGCCGCTGCGCAGCTGTTTGGCTGCTTCAAAGGAGGCCAAGGTGTGTTTTGCGAGATCGCGAAGGAGAGTGAGGGAGTGGAGTCTAGTGGAGGTGAAGAGATGTGGTTCGTGAATGGCATGTTGCCGTCTGCGGAGCTTGCGGAAAAGTCGTTTGTGGGTTGCCAGGCGGGAGTAGAAATGAGCGCGGTGTTTTGTAAACTGCCACCCTTGAGCTTTGAGCTTGAGGTGGTGGGAGATGAAAGGCCAATTGAGTGGCGGCATCCAGTTGGAAATGAGGTAGTGTTCTTGGATCCAGGCCTGGTCATAGGTATCGTGAGAGGAAAGTTGAATGGGTGTGAAGTGGTGGATGTTGTTGTGAGAATGCCAGTAACGAAGGGATAGTTCTGCTGAAATGGGAATGTTGTTTTGCAATTGTTTGAGTTTTGCCCGACGGTTGTGTTCCCTGTGTGGGATGCCAATGCCGGTAGAACCGATATAGAAATGGCCATGCTGGTGGTAGCAGCGGTACGGTGTGGTGGGGTTGAGGTAAAGCTTGACATAGACTGCGTTGGACGAGAGGAAGTTGTGGTAATGGTAGGTGTGGGGTTGTATATGGAGGTGCTGAAGTCGCTGACGCCATTGCTTGGAACGTTGGGTGGAGGAAGGGTAGCAAAATAGAAGTGTGAGGTGGATGAGACCCACAGCAAAGAGGGCCTCAGCACGTTCGATGTACTGGCTGTAGTGGATGAGTGTGGAAAGTGCTTGGTGTAAGTGGAAGAGTTGGTGGAGTGTAGCTTGGTGCGGCTGGCGTTGACTGGTCAGGGCTAGTCAGCATGCGATGGCTGCGCCCACACTGACAATGTGTTGAAGGCTCTTGATGGAGAGCTTGTTCACACGAATCAGGGGGAGGCCGTATCGGGTCGCGGCTTCCTTAAGCTGGTCGGTGGAAACCTTGCTAGTCTGTAGCAGGCGCAAGATTTCTTGGGCTGCCTCTTGTACTTTAGGCTCAAAGGTCCGCATCCATTGTTGGATGGAGGGTGCGGTCCAGGCTTCTGGGGCGTCGTCCTTGAGGGTGGGGTAGGACGGTTGGAGCACGTCGGGGAGTGCTGGTGGTTGGTGATGTGCGGGAGGAGCTGCTGGGGCTGAGGGAGCGCTGGGGCGGCCAGTATCTTTCTTGGGGGTGAGTTCCAGTCCGTGTGCTTGGAGTTTCTCCCGGGCACGGGCAAGGTCATCGGAGGTGGCTTTGAGCGCTCGGAGGGCTGAGCCCTCGGCGACTGCTGGAGCGTGGGCTTGTGATGAGGGGAGAGTGGAAAGCTCGGGCTTGTGTTGTTTTGTTGGGAATGGTGGTACCGGCCTTGGTGTGCATAGCTTCGGCGATAGCGTCCAAGTCCAGACGCTTATCGCGAATCTCCTGAAGGAGATGTGTGGTGAAAACGGACTCGGCGACACTCCTCGTAGGAATGAGGCCGCAGAACTTGCCGTGACTGAGCGTCCTGGCTGTATAGTCCGCGGTCCCATGGTACGCAAGGAGCCAGGGGAACACCTCAAAAGTCGGCAAGCCTGCGATCCCGACACGTCGGGACCATTGGGTGGGCTGGATGTGACGCTGTAGTTGATGCCCGTGAAGGGCATTTGAGTCCCAACAGGAATCCGTGGAGTGCCAGGATTCCTGGATGGTTGGTGTTGGAGTTGGAACGGTAGGAGG